AGGGGGGGCACAGAAGTGTGATTCAAATACGAAGGTAGTAAAGGTAGATGAAAGGTGAGGTGAGTACTGTGGAAGTAGTCGAATATGACATACAGTGTTGGTGATGGTCGTTTGAAGTCAGAAGTCAACTGCTGGTTTATAGACTTTTATTGCCGTATGAGTATACGTTACCCAGAGTGCACCACGTGGAGGTAAGTCTATCGCACACCCGACTCCAGAAAGTAATTTTTCGTTGAAATATGCGTTCGCACTGCCCTATAAGGGCAGCTCTGTATTCCTTAGATAAGTTAATACAAGCATTGGAGTTATGGCCTAGTTCGTCATCTAGAAAGAATCAACCAGGTAATGCTTAGAACACGTCGCGTGCATTTCGGCCACGTACTCTTTCCACATTCATTCCAGTGACTGTTCACTTCCTTTGTAACAGCAGAGAAAGCCACGGGACAGCTGATACCATCCTTGAATCCTTTCATGCGTTGGTCAACTGGCCGAACTTGGGTACATTGAGGATCCTTGATAACTTGTCTGCAGTCAAGTGTTGCCAAATACCATTCAAAGAGTAGGAGCCATCGTAGAAGACGTCGGGTTACACGAACCCTGCCGAATTCGGGAATAAATTCATTGGTTTCATGCAGCAACAAACCAAGTGGATTTAAATTTTCATACCTAAGGTTAAATTACAAATTCGGTTTATTGCTTAAAATAAATAATGTTTTAAAAATATGTTTAATGCAGCGATTATTCCTTATACCTTTTGACTGAAAGAGGTACACTCGATTGGCCCTTTGTTTAATAATCAACAGGATGTAAGTCCGCCAGAATCGAATCCAAGATCTGCAATACCGCATAGTAACGGTAGAGAAGCAATGACCACGGAAATCCATAAATAAGTACTTTAAACTGCTAAAAGACTCAAATACAATTACAAAATGCTCCATGGTTTACAGTTCCTTTGTTTTAAATGTACTTAAAATGATTTCTTTAAGTTTAAAGGCAGACAAAATAATAGAAAAAATAACTTTTTACCAAAATGTTTGAAAAGACCTAGATGAATTAAACACAAGAACATTTTCACAAATTAGAAATTTTAACATCTGAAAATGAATACTCATTTATTGATCCACCAAAAACGGAAAGAAGACAGAACTGCCATATTTTCGAAGGGTGAATAGGGCAATTTAACAATTCGGTATTGTTGGCTTACTACCACGGATTAGTTCACAAAATGGGCTTATTACCTTAATCGCGCAGAAATATCAATAAGGCAAAGGAATATAATTCGGTTTCAGGCAATTGGTCATAATCACCTTCGCCCTAGTTCCTTTCATCAAGTAGTTGTTACTCTAATTAGGTATCACTCTCAGAAGCCTCTCGACCAGCAGGGGGACCAAAATAGACATCCTGACCTAAAATCGAAATACCATTTACGTCTTAGTAACTCGCGCTCAGTTTCTAGAAAGATGAGGATGGTGGTGAGGGCTTTTGGAATTTGTAGCGGATTGCTACCTTAGTAAAGCCTGACTGACTCAGAAATCTCTATGGCAGATTCTCCAGCGTCTAGCTAGACTCCCAGAACCAGCTAAGCTATAGCTCAGCTATAAAGGAAACAGACGTGTAGCACGGAGCACGTTTATTCAGTATGGGTATTGCGGATAAAGTGTACACTCAGGGAGCTACTCATGATCAGGATGGGGGATTAGGTTAAACAGAGGTTGATGATTGGTCACTGTTTGTACGGTCGCTGCACACAGAGTTTTACGGTCGCACCTCCCAACCCTGGCGAGCAAACAGCATAACGTTTCCACAAGCTTGAGGTAAAGGCACTTAATTGTCTCTTGGGTGAAGGAATGGTAAATTCAATCCGATTAATGAAAGCACATTTAACACCAAACTCCATATTTTGAAACTATTACAAATGGAGAATCACATATGGCAGTTCGAGTAAGCTATTTAGAGGTTTGAATTGTAATAAAACGATTATAGTCTATAAACGCTATGACGATGGTATTATGGAGTACCCAACGCTGGCACGTTTAACCTAAGCATTCTCATGCACGCTCAAACATCCAGGAACACGCAGCATGATGCTGAAAGCGCTGGGGGTACAAATGAGGTCATGAGGTAAAGAACTCTCAATCAACCAACAGTCAATAGGCATTAGAGAGTTAGCTTGTCCAAAATAGTTTCCTTTAAGGGAGATACGTCACAGAATTATTGCAGCCTCAATAAACGTATTCACGAACTATATTTTGTTTCCTTTACTATTTTTGTGGTAGATTAGTTAATTTCGGGAGCCGAGCCATAAATAAAGCACGGAGTTTGTCATAGAGATTACTGCGGATAAGCCTAGGCTTAATCGTGTGGTAATCCGCTAAACAGTAAATTTTCTCAGTTTGCCTAATTAGAAATATCAGATTTCTTTATTTTGCAATAACCTTGTCAAAGAAAATATATTAATTTTCTTCAGTTGGTTAAAGTAATGTTTAAATTTTACTTAGCAAAATGCATAAAATATTGATTCGAAAACCGTTGACTATATTTTTTGAATCTGATCATTTGGACATAATTTTTTAATAATAATTGGATATATTATATTTTGATTCAAGGACAATGAAAACTAAAAATCAACTTGTACTATTAATAGTATAAATTTTGCTCTTTTTCCTTATTGTATATGGGAATATCTATATTTTCGACGAAGAGAATAGAGGCATATTGAGAATAAAAAATCACATTAATTGGGTAAATATATTGAAATGAGAGGGAATAATTTTCAATTTATGATACAACATTGTCGAGGGTTCTGCAGTAGTTTCATGCGGTTAGTACTTTCCGTGATGTAAATCAAGATAAAATTGGATGAAGCAGTCAATAATATTGAAAGTAAAATCAATTTAAGGGTAAGTTAAAATCCAGTGATTGGCTACTGTGAAGGGATTAATTGGACTCAAGATGTCTTGAATAGCAGAATTGCCATTCTGCCTTGGCTGAAGTAGATGAAGTTATTCTCGATGTGGGTAATGTAGCTGCAAATAAAGATACAAACAATTACATTTGTATTGAGTTGGGGAGAGAGTGTGTTCCGTATTCAAAAAGCTATCTTATCGTGCTATCCTAAACCAGTTATTAACCTTAGAGGACGAGTGAACAATTATATGAAAACAATTAAAAAGTGGTTTGGGTAAATTGATTCTTAACTTTTGTTTCGTTTGAATTAAAACAATTTATCTAAATATGGAGTGAGAACAAATATGGTACTGGACTGAGAATCCATGCCACTTGATAACATTTTGTGATAGTCCATCAAGTTTATAAAAACACCAAATGGTCGTAATCTAAGGATAATATGCGTAAAATGAACTCATTTCTAAAATGGGAGAATTTACAAAAGTTGGAATCACGGCATTTCTTTTTGGAGTTATTCATTTGTTTCCAAATAATTAGAAGCAGACAATATTTTAAGTATGGTATACAAAAAGAACCATAGCAGAAATAGGATATTGCAGGAAATCTGAAAAGCCTTTTTCAACACGTTACGTATAGTCGTTTAATATGCATTATATCATTACATCATTATATTCCAATTAAATGAAAGTGGTATAACTGTTCACGCATCGGCCACAACCTAAAATTTTAAATAATAAATTTATAAATTTAATAATCGAATCTATCAATCATGGGTCTTTTCAATTTTATGGCTTATCGGCACAACTAACGACCTTTAATGTTTTCATAGTAAGCGTAAAAACTCTAAAAACCACAATTAAATTAAGTGTTGGAAGTAATTAAATTAATTATTAACCATTAACTGACGAAGTCCAATTAACTATCACATCATATATTATATATGCGCTAGAGTACAAATGATCGCCAAATTTCAATACTATCTGATAGCCTTATTTGCAGTTGGCCAATTCTACAATTTTTACAGCATTGGTGTTTATTGCGGGTTTGGCACGAAATATTTTTGTTGGTGAAAGTCTACCATCTTGACGCACTGACAGAAACCAAAATTAAAATCTATTCCACAAAGAAAGGAGGACGAAGAGTTAGATTTCCTAACCAAGAGGTTTTCATCAGAATGTTCCTTGTGTCTCAGCAGACCTTCGTATAACCTATCATAAATTCAAACCAACCAACAAGTTATATTTCATGGTGCAATAAAATAGGAAATCGTAGAATAATCTGGTAAAAAGCAATTTGAAGGTTTTAGGAGGCGATGGCATTAAAAAGGACTTCGCATTTTAAACACCAGCTTAAATGAACCCAACTCCTAATAAATAAAAAAACGCTTTAGAATTACATTATAGAGACTGCTTAGAAAAGAATACAAAAAATGCAATTTCTTTAAAACACAGGTTACCTTCCAAAATGATTGCCAACAATACAATGCCAATTGGGTTCATATTTGCGATCAAACTCCTTTTTAATATACTGGGCAATCTCCCGGGGTTCTTTACTTCTCTGCAAGGCTCTACTGGCCACTTCCAGTGCATCCTGTTCCATCAACCTGGGCATCTTGGTACTGCGTACTTCCAGTCTTTCGCCATGAGAATAGATGGGTTCTGGCTGTTGAGGTCTTGAATGCCTAAACATCTTATCTTCTTTAACTGGTTAGACCATTGTACTCATAAACTGGTGTTTATATATGTGCGTATTTTTATTACGCGTTAATTTAAACCACCACCATTTCTTTGATTAAAACTGTGTCAACTAAAACTAAAGTTAAATTGTGATTGGTTGTTAAACAGGGCTTTATTATTCATGAGACTAGCTCTTCAAGTGACGAATTTGGTACACCGCAATGCATGAGTGACAGGGTTTGCTTTGGCAATAAATTAAATTATCCCAATCCATTTAAAAAAATTTACACCTAAGTATAATCTCATTCACAGAGAACTTGTTTTAAAATCGTATTTATATATTAAGGAAAAATTGGGCATTGAGGGTAATAATAAATAGTATTTGAAGGAATCTAAGTGCAAATTTGTGAATAAATTACAAATAAATTAATCGGATGGTATTGTGCTAAAAATAAACATTTTAGACATTTCCTTATATGCTCTGGATGCCTTAGTACCTGGACAGGGGGTGAATAGAGACCGATCAATATATGATTGGCAAAATGTAAAACGATGCCATTTGATAGTAGCCAAATAAAAAGTATAAAGTACAAACTTGACCATCTGAAGATGTTGATTCAATAAATGTATTTAGTTTCACATAAACATGATGGATCGGATAATTTTCTCAAGAACCCTGAGACTTACCTCAGAAATTTGAACATTGGAATGTCAGGAATTAATCAATGGTATTTTTGTGGCGGATATCAAAGACTATATCTTCATTTATTTATTTCAAATGGGAGACTATATGATAGTTATCATTAGTCCTTCAGCTGACTTCGGACTTCACAGAGAGGAGAAGGAACATCAAAGGGACAAAAAGTCGAGAGGGAGAGAGGAAATTGATTCAAAGATCTAAAAGAGACAGACAGACAGACAGACAGACAGACACAAATGCAGAGAAAAGGTAAGATGAGTAATGTGGAAGCGGTCGAATATGACATACAGTGAGGTCATGGTAGTTTGAAGTGAGAAGTCAACTGCCGGTTACTCATGGTAGTTTGAAGTCAGAAGTCAACTGCCGGTTAATAGATGGTAGTTTGAAGTGAGAAGTCAACTGCCAGTTAATAGTATGGTAGTTTGAAGTCAGAAGTCAACTGCCGGTTAATAGGGATCTTTTTGCCTTATGAGTATACGTTGCCCAGGGTGCACCACATTTTGCCGTATGAGTATGCGTTGCCCAGGGTGCACCACGTTTTTGCCGTATGAATATACGTTGCCCAGGGTGCACCACGTGGGCAGTTTGAAGTACCAGTCAATAGACTTTTTTCCGCATAAGTATACGTTGCCCAGGGTGCACCACATGGAGGTTGTAAGTACACGTTGCCCAGGGTGCACCACGTGGAGGTATGCCGTTTGAGTATACGTTGCCCATTGGTTTATAGACTTGTTTGCCGTATGAGTATACGTTGCCCGTCAATGGGGTGATGGTAGTTTGAAGTGAGAAGTCAACTGCCACAATGGGGTCATGGTAGTTTGAAGTTAGAAGTCAACTGCCTTTAATAGACTTTTTTGCCGTATGAGTATACGTTGCCCAGCGGTTTATAGACTTTTTGCCGTATGAGGTCTGTTGCCCAAATATGACATACAGTGGGGTCATGGTAGTTTGAAGTCAGAGGTCAACTGCCGGTTTATAGACTTTTTGCCGTGTTAGGGTTAGATCAACTGCCGGTTTATAGACTTTTTTGCCGTATGCGCATACACAATGACATACAGTGGGGTGATGGTAGTTTGAAGTGAGAAGTTGTGACATATAGTGGGGTGAGGGTAGTTTGAAGTCAGAAGTCCACTGCCGGTTTATAGACTTTTTGCCGTATGAGTATACTTTGTAACATACAGTGGGGTCATGGTAGTTTGAAGTCAGAAGTCAAGGCATACAGTGGGGTCATGGTAGTTTGAAGTCAGTGGTCAACTATACAGTGGGGTGATGGTAGTTTGAAGTGAGAAGTCAACTACCAGTCAATAGACTTTTTTCCGCATAAGTATACGTTGCCCAGGGTGCACCACATGGAGGTTGTAAGTACACGTTGCCCAGGGTGCACCACGTGGAGGTAGCCGTATGGGATGTCAACTGCCGATTAATAGACTTTTTTGCCGTATGAGAAGTGATAAGTCAACTGCCGGTTAATAGACTTTTTTGCCGTATGAGTGGGTTGCCCAGGGTGCACCGCGTGGAGGTAAGTCTATCGCAACAACTGCCGGTTAATAGACTTTTTTGCCGTATGAGTATACGGTGCCCAGGGTGCACCACGTGGAGGTAAGTCTAAATATACATTGCCCAGGGTGCACCACGGAGGTAAGCCGAATGAGAATACGTTGCCCAGGGTGCACCACGTGGAGGTAAGGTGTAGTATACATTGCCCAGGGTGCGCCACGTGGAGGTAAGATAGCTTGAACTCAGAAGTCAACTGCCGGTTTATAGACTTTTTTGTCACATGAGTATACGTTGCCCAGGGTGCACCACGTGGAGGTATGTCATTTGAGTATACGTTGTCCAGGGTGCACCACCTGGAGGTAAGTCTATCGTGAGTATACGTTGCCCAGGGTGCACCACGTGGAGGTGTATGAGTATACATTGCCCAGGGTGCACCACGTGGAGGTAGCCGAATGAGAATACGTTGCCCAGGGTGCACCACGTGGAGGTAAGGTGTAGTATACATTGCCCAGGGTGCGCCACGTGGAGGTAAGACCGTATGATTATACGTTGGCCAGGGTGCACCACGTGGAGGCCGTATGTACCTTTTGCCATATGTGGATACGTTGCCCAGGGTGCACCACGTGGAGGTAAGTCTAAATATACATTGCCCAGGGTGCACCACGGAGGTAAGCCGAATGAGAATACGTTGCCCAGGGTGCACCACGTGGAGGTAAGGTGTAGTATACATTGCCCAGGGTGCGCCACGTGGAGGTAAGACCGTATGATTATACGTTGGCCAGGGTGCACCACGTGGAGGTACCTTTTGCGGTATGAGTATACATTGCCCAGGGTGCACCACGTGGAGGTAGCCGAATGAGAATACGTTGCCCAGGGTGCACCACGTGGAGGTAAGGTGTAGTATACATTGCCCAGGGTGCGCCACGTGGAGGTAAGACCGTATGATTATACGTTGGCCAGGGTGCACCACGTGGAGGCCGTATGTACCTTTTGCCATATGTGGATACGTTGCCCAGGGTGCACCACGTGTATACGTTGCCCAGGGTGCACCAGTTTGTTTGCCGTATGAGTATACGTTGCCCAGGGTGCACCACGTGGGCAGTTTGAAGTTGGGTGATGGCAGTTTGAAGTGAGAAGTCAACTGCCAGTTAATAGACTTTTGGTAGTTTGAAGTCAGAAGTCAACTGCCGAATAATAAAGTGGCAGTTTGAAGTCAGAAGTCAACTGTCGGTAAATGTAATTTTGCATAGTTTGAAGTCAGAAGTCAACTGCCAGTTAATAGATTTAGTAGTTTGAAGTGAGAAGTCAACTGCCAGTTAATAGACTTATTTTGCCGTATGAGTATGCGTTGCCCAGGGTGCACCACGTTTTTGCCGTATGAATATACGTTGCCCAGGGTGCACCACGTGATAGACTTACTTGCCGTATGAGTACACGTTGCCCAGGGTGCACCACGTGGTGCCGTATGAGTATACGTTGCCCAGGGTACACCACGTGGAAGTAAGTCTATCGCGCACCCAAATTTTCCATTCATTGGGTTTAGACGAGTTCTCATAACTAAAAGCTCTAAATATTGTTTTGCTTAGCAGTTAACCACTGCCTGAATTACGAACTTTAATTATTATGAAAAGTAATCTTATCTACAAACGATTATTTTAAATGCAATAAATACGAAATTAATTTGGTAATTAATATTGAATTTGATTTTGACTAACTTGGAGCACTTTTGTCCAACAAAAAATGGCAAGAATGCTTTAAAAATCTGCCAAATCTTCACTTACTGTACTTCATATTCATGGTACTGGGATGTGCGATAAACTTACTTCCACGTGGTGTACCCTGGGCAACGTACACTCATACGGCAAAAAGTCTATTGACTGGCAGTTGACTTCTCACTTCAAACTACCATGACCCCACTCTATGTCATAGTCGACCCCTTCCATAGAACTCTGCATACCTTTTCTCTGCTTTTGTGTCTCACTGTCTCTTTTACATCTGTGAATCATTATTCTGTCCCCCCCTCTCGACTTTCTGTCACTTTGATATTCCTCCTCCTCTCTGTGAAGCCCGAAGTCACCTAAAGGTCTAATGATAACCATCAAAACGCCTGCCATTTGAAATAAAATTAAATATTCATGGTACTCTTCTTTGACATCTCTATTGCAACTTTCGCTGCATCCTCGCATCCATATCAGTTTAAGAGACTTCAAAAATTACCTCAACACGATTAATTTGCTTCAGATCTATGAAGATTTTCGTTTTTTCTGCTCATCTTTACAATTATTTATTTATTTATTTCAAATGGTAGGCTTTATGATATTTATCATTAGCCCTTCTTTACAATTATTAAACATGAAAAAAGCTTCTTTTAATGGTGTCAAGATCTACTTATTGCAGAGGTAATTTCACTAGGTTATTTAACTGACAAACGTAATACAAGGATAGAACGAATATAAAGTTGTAGGACACGTTATCGCTGTGTGCGTCATCGTATGCCTGTATGTCTGCTCGCCAGGTTTGGGAGGTGCGGCCGTACAATTCTGTGTGCAGCGACCGTACAAACAGTGACCAATCATCAACCTCTGTTTAACCTAATCCCCCATCCTGATCATGAGTAGCTGCCTGCGTGTGCACACTTTGTCCGCAATATCCGTACTGAATAAACGTGCTCCTTGCTACACGTCTGTTTCCTTCACAGCTGGGCTATAGCTCAGTTGGTTCTGGGAGTCTAGTTAGATGTTGGAGAATCTGCCACAGAGATTTCTGAGTCAGT